GAGAGAGAGAGAGAGAGAGAGAGAGAGAGAGAGGGGGTGGTTGGTCCACCAACGCCAAGACTAGAACTCTTTAGATGATATTACGCCATCTGTCTTTTTGCCAATGGGGTACCATACCAACAACCGAGCTTCAAGAGTCAAGAAGGTGTAGGTGTGCGCTATCCTCTACACTTGCTCTGGTTTGATTTGATTAAGAACAAGATGGCTTCTACCTCAGTTCCTACTTCAGAGATTGTTGCGAAGTTGAATCTGAAGCCCCACCCAGAAGGTGGGTTCTTCTCAGAAACTCTCAGAGATACTTCTGTCATTCTCTCCAGATCTCAACTACCCTCTGAATGTAAGTGTCTTCTTACAAAAACTCACTTTTTTTTTTCTTTTTCATTTTTTGGGGATCTGCGTCTTGATTCTTTCACGATCTTGTTTGCATCAAATTTCTGAGTTCTCAGTGATCCCCCTCTTTGTGAAGGCCCAAAACAAACAAACAAAAAAACAATTGTATGCATATATTCGGATATTGTTCTGTACCGATTGTACTGATAATTTCACCTTTCTGGGCTTGCACAGTGGTATGCTTTTGCTTTTTCTATACCTATAGATTGCTTGTCTTTCTTCGCCGTGTTTTTGTTTTTTCTTAAATTGTTGGATATATGTAAATAGGTCGTAAATGTTAGTTGAACCGTGAGTCGATTTGATATGGTACACATTTCGATGGGGTAAGCTTAGCTATTAGTTAGTACGGTATTTTGAGTTGAAATTTATTTTAGGACTTTTATCAAGATCGTTTTCATTATGATACAATATTATATATCATAAAACATCCATAAACTTAAGTCAGTTACTATTTATTGTACATTTGTTCTCAATTTTTATTATCTAAAATAATATTTAATTATAAATCTATATATATGTAGTTAATTAATATATATTTTATATTTACGTTACATATACAATTTGAGATCATACATTTTGGTGATTTAGATCGTCAACCCACTCCGTTTGGGATTGATATACCCAAATCATGGGTCGTCTAAGATTTAGTGTATTACCAAAAATTGAAAGTTATAATATCAAATTTTGTATTCGTGTTCTTTATCTTTAGTATGTCGTATCCTCTCAAGCACCTAGTTTGTAAGGCCTTTGGGGTGTATCGAGCCTTGATCTCTTGGACATTTTTTTTTTTCCCTTAATCTCAATTTATAGTTAGCAAAACAAAAGCAGCTACCTATTCCTTTGAGACTGTTGTTTTTGTGGAGTAAATTCTCGGAGAATTTGTTTCATGTAAGCTGAATGCGGCGGCTATTTCCAGAGTCTTTCACAGAACATGGCATCATGAAAAATGGAGAATCATTTTCCATCTCTCTTGTGGAATTTCATAATTGTCCTAAGTAAATCCTTGTTTTGTCATTATCTTTGTCATATGTACATTCATGTATGTCTTATGCTAGCATAATCAACTGAAATAAGGTTTCTTCTAATCACCAAATCGATTTGCAGTAGCAAGAAGACCCATAGCAAAATCCATGTTTTGATATGAGCTTTGCCACATGTACATTGATGTATATCTGTCTTCTTATTAAGCTGCTTATTATGGCCTCTCTGTCTCTTATAATGACTACACACATTTATAGCATAATAATAAGTTTTCCGACTCTAAAACTCTAATAGATTTCCAGTCTTAGCAGGAAAAAGGACATCTATAGCTAGTTCATAATGGGGTGATTCTTCTAAATAGGAAATAAAATGTGGATGCTAATGATGTGGTTTTTCACCGCCAAATCTAGAAGAAAATACCTAAGAATTAGGCAATTTACTAATAAACCTGACTGTCATCTAACTCAATAGCTAGATGTGCAAAGGTGCCATCTAAGTATGTCTGACCCACTTTTAATATGAATCATTTGATTTTCCCTAGAAATTACATCCAAAATTTTGGTGTAAATAAGAAAAGGGACCTGCCCTGAATAGGTTAGGTCATTCCTGAGGTCATATCGGTGTGCTGTGTAAATTTTGTGTTGTCCAATTCGAAATGTATAATTGACAGATTAGTTACATTACCTTCGTCTTTTTTCAACTCCTTTTTTTTTTTTTTTTCTGGATTTTTTTACAGACAAGGTTGATCGGCCTATCAGTACATCCATTTACTTCCTACTGCCTTCTGGGAGTGTCTCACATCTCCATCGTATTCCATGTTTTGAGACCTGGCATTTTTATATGGGAGAACCAGTGACGGTATGTGATTTCTAATCAAATCTGATTATGCACAGTAATTATACTCACCTACCTAACATCTTAACACAATCCGTTTGGATCCACTTACTCGGTGCATTTGTATAGTTGATGATGCACGGCATTTGTCAAAATATCACTAGACAATGAATCCATTCGTACAAGATAACAAATTGTTATATGAAGGTTTAAGACCATTTTCATACCTAGGTATCATTCACCAACAAATAAATTACAAGGGGAAGCAGTTTGTTTTTTTTCAGCAGAATACCATGTTCAATAGATTTTTTTTTCTTCCTTTTCCACCAATTTGCTAATGCCACCATTTTCTCTTTTAGGTAGTGGAAATTAGTGACAAAGATGGAAGTGTCAAGTTAACTTGCCTTGGATCAAGTATAATTGAAGACAACCAGCACCTGCAGTATACAGTGCCTTCAAATGTCTGGTTTGGTGCATATCCAACGAAGGACTTCAACATTTCCACAGATATTGAGGTGGTAAAAAATATACCGAGGGATGCTGAGAACCACTTTTCTCTAGTAGGATGCACCTGTGCTCCCGCCTTCCAGTTTGAGGACTTTGAGCTGGCAAAACGTTCTGATCTTGTTTCTGAATTCCCTACTTATGAGTCCCTCATCTCTTTGCTGACCTATCCAGACTGAATACTCTGTTTACTTGTACACCTATGTATCCTTTTTTTCCTGGAGCTTGTATTAAAACCTGTGGTTTTGTGTTCCTGAGGGTTTGCTTTTAGCCTTGTCATGTTTGCAATAATTCCAACAATACTGAGTTTTAAGTACTTTGAGCTGTTCCCAACTTTTAGATAACTGATCTTAGTGCTGCTACTGCCAGAAAACTTTCTGACATTGAATTTTAATAGTTGTTATCATAATGAAGTGAACAATATTGAGCTTTTTGGTATTAAAGTATAAGGATTCTTAATGTATGAATTATCTCCGGTGTGGAATATACTGAATTCAGCCACCGGTAAACCATATAAATTGCAAAAGAAGTCGGGTGTCCTCAATAGGCCTCGCTGTGTGACAGTTGCATTCACAAATTGTTCGAACATTGAAAAGAGAGAAGAAAAGTTGTGTACACTCGAGAATCAAAAGAAGCCATGAACATAGTACTACAGACGAAGAGGGGTTAAGTTTTTTGTTTTTTGGCGTGCGAAACAAAAAAAATCAACATACACTGCAAATGCTGAAGCCATACTGATACTACAAGCGCTTTTACCTGCTTATGCATTACAGATTAACTTACTCCTCTTGGAAGATGCAGAAAAGCTTTCTTTCAAAGACCCGTCTTCGTCAAAATTAATCTCCATACCACTTTCATTTCTCATTGGCTCAATTTTTCTGCTTTCTTCTGTTTGAGAGAGTGAATGGGAACATTAGATTCAGCCATGCTTTATCACTCATTATCATCCATTCTTGCATAGTTTATGCAAACTAGTAACTGCAGACGTCAAAAGATATATACTTTCAAGGAACAATCACTAGTCCAAATCAAGAAACTCCATTCTCTTTCTCAGGGAACCCTGTAAGTCCCTGACTTCCCTTTCTTCTTTTTGAGCCTGGAGAGAATAAGAAGAGCTGAAATAATTTAAATCTGAAAATTGCAACAAAAGCAAATAAAATTGTTTTGCAAAGTAACCAAATAAAAGATGGCTTGCATTCAGATGGATTCATATTTGGAAAAAGTAAAGAAGTCAAACGAGACACAAGTCATCTGTCCTGGACTGGAAAAATTAGCACTCTACCATAGGCCGCTCCTGCCCATCAAAATCATGTTATAATAGTTCACAAAAGAAACGGGAGATCAATGTTAAGTAAAAGTGATCGATAAGTCACAAGTCAGCAAAATGTGTGAGGATGGTTTCATAACAACAAAATATTACTATCTAGATTGACCAGCAAGTTACATGACTTCATATCAATGCTCATTATAAACAATTAATACTAAGATGTTTAGAATAACAATGGCAGATACCAAATATGTAGCACTCACTATCTTTATCTCTGCTGCTGAGACACAAGTCATATGTGGGGAAAGATCCTCATGCAAGTCCTATACAGCGGCAAATTTGAAAGTTATGACAGAGATGACTTATTGAGCTAGCAAACAGACATATTCAGGGAGAAGAGAAATCACACAATACCAGCTCTCCGATTAAGACAACATTCTCCCCACGGATCATATATAAACCCAAGGGAATATCAGAATACAGATCTCGCACAGTAACTCGTTCACAGGCACCTTCTAAGACTACATTTGCTGTGCATAGGAACATCTGTCAGCAGTCAATATCTTACAAAAGGGAAAAAAATATAGGACCAAAGCAAAATTTTAGCACATGAAACCTAAATATACTGCGAGTGTTTGGGGTTCTACCAAATTGATCAAAAGAGCGGAGTATCCCCAAGAGCTTCCGTCCATCCCTTGACAAAACAAGAAGTTTTTCTGTATAATTCACAAAATTTAGTGGGAGAAGATCTTGGGCGCGTGGTCACATTTAAGATACTGTTGCTTCAAATCAAACACTGCCCAATGGAAAAATGAGAAAATCAAGCAGAAAAAATAGAAATCTTTCAGGTATTAAAACATGAATTTTTATGAACCAAGCATCGACCACTCATCAATTCACACAAGATCAAGTATGAAAAATTGAGACGCCTAGTTTCAGTGTGTGCATTCAAACTTTGTCTTCCAAGAAACAACTTATATGTCCATTAGGAAATGTTTCATTCATAGTCAGAGTCAAGCATATCCTAACTTAGCACAAGAAACTTTAAGTAGGGTTATGAATTTGAATGCAAACACCTGGTGTGAGACTTTCACTTTTGCAGGACAAACAAGACAAAAGGGAAGCAGTGTAAAAGAACATTGTTTTGGCCTTTTGAGCTTATCTTCCCGCCTTCAACCAAGTACTAATATCCGCAGAGAGGATGTTAGTGGATTCAAGGGCTTTGCAACTAAGACAGCAAGCTGCCCAGGATTTGCAAATGGAACAGTAACATTAACATATGCACATTGATCATAAAATTGGTTCAAGCATAGCTTGTAAAACAACATTTGAGTATCAAAACATACACGCCTGAGGTTTACAATCAATCACCAAGAAAGCAAAACAGACACACATAGTGGGAGGAGGGAGAGACAGAGCGCATACTGTCAAGATAGCTTGCCAGGGAAGTGGAAAGAATGACATCAGGGCTTGGCAAAGACATGGAAGTATGGAACCCAATTTCACAAACGTCTCCAAACTAGTACTCAACGGCAATGGAAGGCTGCTTTTATTAGTCACATCCAATTCAAAAGCAAGTGGCCAAATGCACCGACCTCCATCACTGGGATCTTGGTAAGGTTAGCTGTACCCAGTCTGACCTCATATTGGAAGAGGCTATTTTTTGGGCCTTAAACCCGAGACTCCCAGACACGAAACTTTAAAATCTCAACATTACAAATTCAAGTTCAAAGCCACCAACTTCCTGAATAATAGAAACCAAAAGCCATGGGACAGTCTAACGGACAAACCATGATTAAAGCATTTGGAGTGTTTGGTGAACACTTTGGTCGGTGGGTTTTATGGAAAGATATAATCTTTTTTGCTCCCAATCCCATGATTCCCTCGGCGACTTGTAACAATGTACGCGTATGTCTACACATGTATAGATACAGATACAAGGAATCAAAACTGAGATTGTGCTTGGAATTAGGTTGACTCTGCTTCCATTTTATTATTGGGCTGTTTAATTGTTTTCTAATCATTGAAGTTTTCTGGGGAGTCGAGACTAACAAGGATGTGTTTGTTTAATAAATTTGTTGTTCTCTAATCTCCAAGCAGTTCTCAATCAATTCTCAACATGCGGCACATTTGGTGCAAAATTGGTGACATTTTTGTTGACTTACCATCTTAAGCTCATGTATGCCTAGTGATTATTGGATCCACGTGTGAATCAAACATAAAATCGATATGAAATTAGCGTCTTTGAGTTGATTTTTCAACGGGTTCGAATGGAAATTGGATAGACTCGTTAAACTCATCAAATAAATGGGTCAACAAGAATCTAGTTAAATACAATACAACCCCAACATGACAAGAACTCGACAATGTGCAGGCATGACCTATCGACAGTTCTAATCACAGGACTGAATCTATTTCTGATTCCAATTACATTTTTTTTTTACGAAGTAAAGTGGCAAATTTATTGTTTTGGTGGACAGTTAGGTGTAATGAGGACCTACTTGAGCTTTTTGGCCTTTACTTTCATGTAATTTAGATCAATGATTCTCACCAAACAGCAACTTTCCATGTCTAAACTGCACCATGGGGCATTATTCTATGAGATTGTCACCAAATTGAATGCAAACAGATCACTTTTTTCCAAATCCATGCAAATTATAAAATGCATGATCTTGGCTTTGGGGCAGTGCTTGCTTCCATAACATGCTTTGAGTGAGCTCATGACTTGCCACATGTCCATTAAATTACAAGTTTTTCAGAGTTTTTGCATATTATCTCATGAGATGTGCATGAATTTCTTGGGACAAGGTGATTACAAACACTTCTAACACAATATTCATACTGAGTCAAACTTGCCATGAGCTTGTTCACAATGATTTTCAACTTCCATTTCATCTTGGGTATATTACGATACCAAATGAGTAAAATTAAGGCAAAAAAGGTTCAAACCTTTTGAAGTGGAACTTAACCTTTTCTGTTGTAATTCAATTTAAGATGAATCATTTACTTTTTTTATCGCGAGTTTTAATACAGTGTTGAAATGAATATTTCTCACACTTTGTGTAACTTCCCACTATTTAACCCCCTTTTAATTTACCCATATTTCATAAAAAGATTGTTCAATTAAAAATTTCTCCAATAAGTAGATGATAATTGATGTTTGTACATGATGGATAAAAAAGATAAATGAGAATATAAATCTAGTTTATAGTATGAGATTGTTGCTACTAATAACGTATATTTTTTAGTAATATTTTAAACATCAAAAATTTGTAAATAGTTACCTTTTAAACTACTTAATTGTGAGAAAATACCTTGACAAATTTTTTTTTTTCTAAATAAGTACCTTTGGCTTGAAATTTATTGTAATTTGGTAATCATTGATAAATTTTCAAATATTTTCTTCACTAAAATACCTTTTTCCTTATTTGAAGCCTCTTAATTTGGCATTCCTACTTTTTATGGGATTTAATTTATTATATTAATAGTTTCATATTTTGAGGGATTGAATATATTTTAAATTCAAAATTATGCCACATGGAATATACTTTAATGACTTGGCCCAGATTTTAAAATTTATTTTTTACATATATTATTTTTTAATGTTAAACGGCTCTGGTTGATTTTAAATCTAACAATAGTATTATGTTATAATGTTACATTGTGATGTAACACCGTCATTCTGTAAAAGTAATAAATATGAATGTCATATTTGTGATGTCACGTTATGTGATGGATACTATTTAGATTATATATGAATCAGTGAATATAAATTTACAAATTTTTTGTTAGTGATTAAAGCGTTAATAAAGATGTTACACTGTCATGTATCACTGTAATGTCATATTATTAACAATTTGAATCAGAATAGAAGGAAGATTGGTTTTCAATGGTGCTTTGACGTTTGTGTTTTTTTTTTTTTTATGAAAATTGATAATTTTGTAGCAGATTTTTTTTAAAAAAAGTTTAAAAACTCATGTTTTAAGAGATATAGCAGATGTCGAATTTAATGGGATTGTTGCATGATTTATTGCAATTTCTTTATCCACTCCGTGTGCCATATAATTATTACCTTACAAGCATTTTTATCATATAAAAAAAAGTACTTTTATACAAAATATTTTACGCTAAATAATTTTTTCACAATTAAGTGATAAATTAAGTACTGGCTCACAAAAAAACCCTTTAAACATGGAAATATTGGAAAAAGGTACACCAAATTGGAATTAATTATAAAAAAATACACACAAAAAAATATAGGGTAAAAAAATCTTTAGTTTTGATACTTATTTGTTTCCAAGTATATTATTTGAAATTTTTATATGTTCTTTTGACTTTTATATGCTCTCTTGATTCATGCGTTTTTTTTTTTGGAAAAATGATGCATTAAACATCTTCTAGTTTTATGGGAGAACTTTAATATTCCGTATTTTTATATCCTCCTTTTATTCATGCATATTTTTGTTGAAAAGTTATTTTGGTTTCAAATTATATTAATTCGAAACTCCATAATAGTATAATAATAATAGTATAACAAGACATTTACACAATATATTGTACTATTACATTTTGTCAACATATATTTTCATATAATTTCATTCAAAATAGTTCATTTCTGTTTTGAATTTATTACCACATGCACAAAATCACTGAACATTATTTTTGTTGCAGTATATTGTTACGCTATCTTTGTTACACTGTTTTTTGTTAAATTATTGTTTAATGAATTTGTTACTTTTTTTTACAGTGTAAACAATTTTATATTTCAAATTATATAAAAAAAAATTATATAAAAAATAATTAATAAATTTTGAAATTCAAACAAAGTGTTTTATCCTAAAATAAACGAAATATTAAAGTTTTTTTTATAAAACTAGAAGATATTTAATGTATAAATATAATTTAAAAACAAAACCACTTTCCAAAAATAAATACGCATGAATCAAGATGCATTAGAGATTTCGAATTAAATGACCCTAAATTTCAGCGTTTAAGATAAATGTTTTGTTACAGTTTTTAGGAAATAAAATTTTACAAAATAGACATTTACGTCTTTATATCTCAGTGATGTACTTTTTTTGAAAATATTTTGTTTTATGTATTTTTTTACAATTATGTCTAATTTGGTACACCAGCTTCTAAAGAATTTTTTTTACAATTATATATAATTAAGTGTATGGATTTTCAAAGGACCATTTAAACGTTGAGACATATGGTCTGAAGCCCAATAAGGAAGTTGTAGGCCCAAACTATCCATCACACACCACCCCCATTCACCATTCACCAATGGGCCCAAATTGCAAAGCGACGCCGTTGGGATATGATCTCTGTTGCTGACTGGGACTTTCCAGCTTCACCAACGTGTCATAGTTATAACTGCCAAACTTCTGATACTGATTCGTGGCAACTTCTGACGCAAGCCTATATATACAAACAAACCCCATGTACGTATAGGCTCCCAAAGCTTATTCTCCGTTTGATCAATGTGGTTACGGATTTGTGGAAACCCTATATTTAATTTCAATCATCCCACAGGTCAGCGTTATTCACTCTCTGGAATTAGTTTTTTTTTTCTTTTATTTTTCTTTTTGGATCATTATTTAGTTTTGGGTTTTGGAATTGCTTGTTATTGTCGAAATTTCAAGTTTTAGGGTTTGATTTACAAGAAATTACCCATTGTAGAGAAACCATAGACAAACTTTAAACACTTGCACTTTGTATAAATGAGTTTGAATTTAAATATGATATGCAGCTTTGAGTGCACAGCCTCACTGAATATTGGTAGTCTGTATAATAAATTTGCTGCAACGGTAGAGAGTAAGGCGGTATCCCATTTCTCTGGGTTGGTTGCCCATGATATGCACAGAGCTGTTTGTCTGTCCTATTTAAACAAGACCAAAAAAAAAGGAAAATGCTACACAATCCAATACAACCCAAACAGAATCCAAAAGTTGCAACCCAAATGGGTGGCTTCCACTGAAAAATTTGATGGGACCCACTGATTCCTTTGAGTTTCAACTTTTTAGGTTGTGAAGCATTACTCAAGAAAAAATGTAGTATGATACTTGTACATGGATATAGATTTTCTTGGATCCGAATTGCCCTCCTAGAAGATAGAGTAGAGCCGGTGGCACTCCTGAACCTGGAAAATTAACACTTCGTGTTGTTGGATCTGAACCTTCAAGAAAGAGAGGATGACTAAGCAAAGAAAACTGTTTATTCATATTTTCCACCTTAATGTCTCTGTTGTGTATACGTTGAAGTGAATGATGGACATATGCTCATGCACACAAACACAGATCAACCCCCTGGTCTTGCCAAGAACAACACCACCGGGAAGTTGTTTGGTAACTATACCAATCAAGACACCATAAATTAGGCACACACACATACATGCAGATTAAGTGGTGATAGTTTGAAACTGATAACTCCCAAGAATATTATAATTATGAGGATGCAACCTTGAGTATGTAAAACTGGAACAATAGATGAAGATATGAGCTTTCACAATATAAATAGTTGCATAGGTTCATATTGTCGTTACCTAATTAGCTTTTTTTTTTCACTATATTTCAGGGTTGTTCATCATAAAAAGTACACTATACCACTTGGCTCTATAGCAAGTTTTGGAGACTTGGCAGTGGAAGTCGAATTTGGCATGGCTTCAAACAATGTCTCAGACTATCAAAACACATATGGAGATCTTTATCTAGCAGCCATTATAATTGCAGGTTGCTTTGCTTCAGTTGCAGTGGCCCTTTCCATCTTTCTGATTCTCCAACATCTCAAATCGTACACAAATCCTGCGGTTAGCTCTATTTGGCATGTGTTCATTGCAATTCTACGATAGGCTTGTTTTTTTCATTTTGATATCAGAAAGGTACAACGGCTTGAGTGACCAGACTTGACAAATGCGACTTTTTATGCCCTTTTCAATAGCTTGCCACTATTATAAAGTTAAAAAAATATGTGTCTGTATAATGTTCCCATTCCTTATATTTTCTTATATTTGCAGGAGCAAAAATGGATTGTTGCAATTCTTTTCATGGTTCCTGTCTATGCTACTGAGTCAGTAAGGATCAACCCTTCTCAAAGCAAATATTTGGTTGAATAGTTGAGTTTTTCTTTCTCACGCCTTTTCTGAATCTGCATCAAGTAAATGACACAACTAAATGTTTCCATGCATTTTCTTATATCATTTTGAAGCGAAGCTTAAATCATTCACTGAACCTTTGAATGAAGAAATTTGGTATATGGAATGCAACTGTGGACTAAATGACTTCTCATTCACAACCATATGTTGAACTTTTCAGTACTTGACTATCTCATTGATGTATACTTCTCCATATTTCCAGTATTGTTAACTAACCAATCCATACTCTATGTAACTTTGAATTTACTTCTGCTGTCAATCTAAAACAAGATGTGGTTTGGAGATTGATAACAAAAACAAGTATGGTAATAAAAACAAATAATAACAACAAAGGGAAATTTTTAAATCGCGTTTTTTTGGTGGTCTGGGCATTTGGACAAATTTCTTAGATGCACAATTTTGTATCTTTCTCTGTATTGATACAAGGACTTTATTTTCGTTCCCAGATTCTATCCTTGTGGAACCCAAAGTTGTCCCTTGCCTGTGAGATATTAAGGAACTGCTATGAAGCATTTGCCCTGTATTCTTTTGGGAATTACTTGATTGCCTGCCTTGGTAAGCTACACAGTTATTTGTTGCTTCAGAATACCATATGTGCTAGTATACCTTCATATGTTGTGCTCCTTCGCTCATCCCCATCGATAAATCTGTGTCATCGTACTAATTTGGACCCAAGTCTGGAATCAGTTGCTATACGTGTCAAATCTGAAACTCTAGGATTGAAGATATTGAATACCTTTATCTTCACTATTGTCAGTGGTGTTGGTGTCTTAACTTTCTGTGCTTGATTGATAACTTCCTTGAAACTTAAATTCAATCTGAACTTTTGTATCTGCCTACATAAAACTTCTGAATGGTGTGAGGACCTGCATTTCTTCAATATCTATGATGCCAAACTGCTCCAATGAAATCCAATTTAGTAACAAAATCTTGGATAGGTGGTGAACAAAGTGTAATAGATCTACTTGAAGATGAATCAAGAAAACTGCTCGGCAAACCATTGCTAGAAGAGGGAAGTGAAAAACTAGAATTACAACAACAAACATTCTGCAACTTCTTCCGCAGACCAAGTGTGCTTGGAAAAGACTTGCTCACCGTAATAAAATTTGGTCTTGTGCAATATGTGAGTCCCAATGAATTCTTTTTTTTTTTTTTCAAGATTTATGTTGATTTTGTTGAACTCTAATATCTTCTGCATAGCTCAGATGATTTTGAAGTCCCTTTGTGCGTTTTTAGCAATGGTGGTGGAGTTTTTCGGTGTCTATGGTAATGGGGAGTTCAAGTGGTACGTTGGGTATGTATCATTTACTAGCAAGATAATTTTCAGGTGGTATAATTGGTGCTTACATTTAGAAACATTAATTTGTATTGACTTTCATACAACAGGATTCCCCTTAACTTTATGGGCACCTTGTCGCTCATACTTAAGTTATGGTTGTCATATTTTTCATATAACTAACTTCTTGACATATTCAATTGGCAGTACAATTTTGTCATATTACTCTCCGTAGATTTTATTGTTATGTAAACCAACACAAGTAATTTTGTTATTTGTTTTGTTTTAAAGTCAATGGCATGTAATGGAGGATGGAAACCATAACCTGCTTCTACCTATTATGCAAGTTTAAGGATGGTATTGAGGGAAAAATATTTCTTGTTTCCGCTTCATTCTCCCCCCTTTTCAGGAAAAGGGTCTTCTTCTTCATTTTATTTCTTTTCATTTCACTGCCTCTTGTAGGTATCCGTATATGACTGTGGTATTGAACTTCTGCCAGATGTGGGCATTGTATTGTCTTGTGCAATTTTACAAGGTTACGCATCAAAGACTCCAGCCAATAAAACCCCTTGCAAAGTTCATCAGCTTCAAGGCTATTGTGTTTGCTACTTGGTGGCAAGGTGTGGGTATTGCATTGTTGTGTGCTATTGGAGTTCTGCCCAAAGAAGGAAAATTTCAGACTGGAATGCAGGATTTTTTTATCTGCATAGAAGTAAGTAGCTGCTTAGTTCTAAAACTTTGGCGATACTAAGTTTCTTATAGGCCAGCTCAATTGTCCGTTGCAAATGTTTACGATTAAGACTTCCGAAAGCCTTACACGGTTACACCTATATCTCCAGGAACTCCTGTATAGCTTAATGTAAAGGCTCTAGTTGACAACAAAAAGAGATAACGATGACACCAAATGATCCAGTCTCATGTGGAGTGAAATTAAGGTCTCATGTAATGATGCTCTTTATAGCATCATTACACGGGTAATTGTTTTGAATTGAATCTGGGAATTACTTGGCATGAAGGTGCTAAACTTCATTTGCATCACCTATATAGGACTATGGGTTCTCGAATTTATCTGCTACTCAATATGATGAGCTTCATAATTTGAGCAGGTTCATTCTTCTTTTGCTAGTGAGCGGGAATTTGAACAGGTTCATTAATGCTATAGATGCGGTAAACATGTATCTGGCCTTTTCTTGATTGACCTCTTTTGATTTTTGAGAGTGCACAAATATTCCAAATGGTTATATCCCAATGGAACTTATTTGCCTTTTCATCCCAATAGATAATAGTTGCTGTAGTTTTTGCAACTTCACTCCCACCCATAAAAATAATCTCACCCGCACCCTGCCTGCCTGCCTGCTCACATATACACGTGAATACATATGAAGCCTCCTGATGCAGAATTATCCAGTGTCTTTTGGCTCTATGGTGGCATATGAAAGTGAATTTGGATCTCAGAGAGGTAAGTTATAAGCTTCCTTGCCCCGATTCCCTGACACTAAATCACCATGCAGCGAATAATTGGATGAGCGCTTGCTCATGGGTCGAGTCTTACATAACTGAGATAATAGCCTTACAGAATTGATTTAAATAGAGCAAGCTACGTCATGCTACAAGATCAGAGCAAGTTGCAGTTTGTTTAAATTCTAATCGGACTCCAATGGGTAAAACTTCTTATCATACCAAGGTTCTCATTTCTATGTAGCAGTGGCAAACATAAATACTGGTTAAATATTCTGAGTACTGAAGTCAAGCTAGAAACCTGTTTCTAAGGAGATTTTAAAAGACAGGTTTGTGTTTCTTGTTTGGCAGATGGCTGTTGCAGCTCTTGCTCATGTTTTTGTCTTCTCTGCGGAACCCTATCATTTCTTGCCAGCTTCTGAGTACGGGAAGGTCACTACCCAAACAACCAAAGCAATGCTGAAGATAGAGGACAGCAATGAAGAAAAACCACCGTCTGTGCTTGAAAAGACAGAAACTAAGGTTGAAGCACCTGGAACAAGTGTCAAAGAGAGTGTTCAGGACATTGTACTTGAAGGAGGTCAACATGTGAGCAACCTCTTGCCTGTTATGTATACAGTTATCTTTTTCAATGCAACTCTAATTTCATCTTTTAACTGTGTAAGCAGGTTGTCAAGGATGTTGTGTTGACCATAAATCAGGCAATTGAACCTGTAGAAAAGGGTGTGGCTAAGATTCAGGAGACTTTCCACCATATATCAATGTCTTCTGGGGACCACGATGAAGAACAAATACTAGAGGTTGATGAACATGAAGAAGCTCGTACGGAAAATGGATCTGAAGTATTGATTTGCAAAGACAAGTTAATTAGTGAATCAAAGCCACAAAAAGGGGAGGTGAAGACACGCCGAAAACCACAAAAGTGATGAGAAAAAAGGTGATATTTTAATTGAATGACTGCGACAAAAAAGATTAGTTTCAGAAATAAAAATTAGAAATGATGGTATCTAAATTTTTTTATTTTGCTTAAAAAGATGTGAGTTGATGGCATATCAACTTTTCGAAATTCCATTTTGGGATGTTTAGGCCAAAATTTTTGATATACAAACAAAAGATTTATCTGAATAACCAGTGTGCTGAGACAGAAATTAGACGCACTTTGCATTCCATTCCAAAAGGTGTTCCATCTCCGAATACTTCTCATCAAAAGGCACCACAATAATATGCATAAAGATTGCTTAATTCACATGAATAATTAAGGAGGCTCCTTGCCTTGTCAAGATGTACATCGTTCGCCTGTTGTACTTTATACAGAAAAATTGCTCATATCTGCGAGCACACCTCCAGCTTTGAGATTGTCAGGAAACACTCCCCGGTGTCTGCCTCAAATAATCAACGGGCTTACGAAAGATCTGGAATATGAGCAGAATATATATACCAAAATTCAATAAAAAATCATAATTGTGATCCCATAGAACATGAGTGCACCATAGGATAAAAATTAATATGCACATATTATGACTAGAAGAAAGTGGCAAACTAGGTTAAAATGCTCTTCAAAATCATGGAAGATTTAGGAAGGTAGTTGCTGAAGAGAAAGCAGAGGATGTGATGGTGATTTGATGACGCTGAACAAGTCAAACTCTAACAAAAAAATAAAAAGAACAAGTCATCAATTAAGAAGACAATTCAGCACAAAGCATACCTCGAGATCTGCAAGATTATCGAGATTGTCAATGGCTAAATTTGCAAGAATGGTAGATGAAGCTTCGGCAGATACTCCTTCTATTCGAACCTCAACTGAATCTGACCAAACACGAATGTAGATTTAACAATAAAACAAAAAAAAAAAAACCTTTAGTCTTCAAGAAACACCTGGCAACATTCTGATTGCACTCATGATTATATAAACTGTGCTATTGGGGGTCATAACCGTTTGGGACATACACTTTCCCTCCACTTCTTCACACCTCCAAAGTAAGTAGTTTTATAATCCTATCACAGAATGGGTAAACTGATTTGATACATTCTCCACCACTAGTGATTAAACCTGTACAACATTTTCAGTTTCAAAGGTGACCGAGATTCAAGGTCCACATTCCATAAATCCATTCCTCTAGAGGCCAACTGCAGCATCAGGTACCATCAACAAGGTCATAATCCCACCAAAGACAAATTCTTTGGACCAATCTCAAACAAACCTTACCAATCCCAAAAATTCACAGCTCTTCACAGTATGCAGTTCAATCATCTCATTCAAATATAATATTCAGCATAAACATCACTATGCTACCCATCTCCTATCACCACGATAACAAGCTCCACGCTAAACACTCAATGAAGCACTGACCTAGCAACCTAGCTTGCATGAAAAAGAAAAGAAATTTCTTGATCATCCAGCTTCACCAAGAAATGGTAGTCCTTGTAGCTGAAAAAAGGTTTAAAGAACATTATTGGCAGCTCAAACAGCCTCTGGTCCTGCATACAACTCAAGGATACACAAATCTTCTAGGGTTCCTCATAGATCCTTTGTTAGAGGTTCCATAAAAACTTAGAACATGAAAACTTTATTGGAAGGAAATAAAAATAATTAATAATATACATGAAAAAGGACACTTGCATCAGTCCAAACAACATTTTGAAATAAATATATTTAAGAGGGAATCCCATCTTTTCAAGACATATCGTAAGAGTTTGAAACTAAATGCCAGCTTTGTTGAACTACAGCTGTGCAAAAACAATCTCATTCCATGTATCCGGAACACCAGGTAAGCACCAATGCAAGCAATCCTGTACTCCTGGTGTGGCTTTAATGCTGTATCGAGATATATGACCCTCATCTCTCAGCTGAGATAGAGCTGTAATATCCAAGAGCTTAACGTGTGTTCCTTTCACTGCCTCTGCAGTAAGAGGATCACTAGATTCGTCGTGTAGAACTTCCTTCCCATCAGAGAGTGGGGTGGTATTATCACAGGTACCTCCAGTGTTCCAATCTCCATTAAAGAAATGCCTGGGTGAGATAGACCGGTAGAATGCTTTCAAACCCGGATATTTTGGTAGCTGTGAGTTTACCCAACTGACAATACTATGAATTGTAAAGTTTTTGGCGCCTGCTATATCTGCAATTTTCCTATTGCTATTAGGCACACCCCCTACATACATGACCCAACGGTTAGCCTTAAGTTTCCCTCTATTCCAATGGTGTCCAGTATTGAGAATGAGGACATCAAATTTGTGAAGGAAACGGCGCAAAAATGCTGGTGGCCTATCAAGGTGCATGGCAAAATCTNAATAAAACAAAAAAAAAAAAACCTTTAGTCTTCAAGAAACACCTGGCAACATTCTGATTGCACTCATGATTATATAAACTGTGCTATTGGGGGTCATAACCGTTTGGGACATACACTTTCCCTCCACTTCTTCACACCTCCAAAGTAAGTAGTTTTATAATCCTATCACAGAATGGGTAAACTGATTTGATACATTCTCCACCACTAGTGATTAAACCTGTACAACATTTTCAGTTTCAAAGGTGACCGAGATTCAAGGTCCACATTCCATAAATCCATTCCTCTAGAGGCCAACTGCAGCATCAGGTACCATCAACAAGGTCATAATCCCACCAAAGACAAATTCTTTGGACCAATCTCAAACAAACCTTACCAATCCCAAAAATTCACAGCTCTTCACAGTATGCAGTTCAATCATCTCATTCAAATATAATATTCAGCATAAACATCACTATGCTACCCATCTCCTATCACCACGATAACAAGCTCCACGCTAAACACTCAATGAAGCACTGACCTAGCAACCTAGCTTGCATGAAAAAGAAAAGAAATTTCTTGATCATCCAGCTTCACCAAGAAATGGTAGTCCTTGTAGCTGAAAAAAGGTTTAAAGAACATTATTGGCAGCTCAAACAGCCTCTGGTCCTGCATACAACTCAAGGATACACAAATCTTCTAGGGTTCCTCATAGATCCTTTGTTAGAGGTTCCATAAAAACTTAGAACATGAAAACTTTATTGGAAGGAAATAAAAATAATTAATAATATACATGAAAAAGGACACTTGCATCAGTCCAAACAACATTTTGAAATAAATATATTTAAGAGGGAATCCCATCTTTTCAAGACATATCGTAAGAGTTTGAAACTAAATGCCAGCTTTGTTGAACTACAGCTGTGCAAAAACAATCTCATTCCATGTATCCGGAACACCAGGTAAGCACCAATGCAAGCAATCCTGTACTCCTGGTGTGGCTTTAATGCTGTATCGAGATATATGACCCTCATCTCTCAGCTGAGATAGAGCTGTAATATCCAAGAGCTTAACGTGTGTTCCTTTCACTGCCTCTGCAGTAAGAGGATCACTAGATTCGTCGTGTAGAACTTCCTTCCCATCAGAGAGTGGGGTGGTATTATCACAGGTACCTCCAGTGTTCCAATCTCCATTAAAGAAATGCCTGGGTGAGATAGACCGGTAGAATGCTTTCAAACCCGGATATTTTGGTAGCTGTGAGTTTACCCAACTGACAATACTATGAATTGTAAAGTTTTTGGCGCCTGCTATATCTGCAATTTTCCTATTGCTATTAGGCACACCCCCTACATACATGACCCAACGGTTAGCCTTAAGTTTCCCTCTATTCCAATGGTGTCCAGTATTGAGAATGAGGACATCAAATTTGTGAAGGAAACGGCGCAAAAATGCTGGTGGCCTATCAAGGTGCATGGCAAAATCTGTGTCTGGGTTAGTCATATTAAGGGGCTCCAAGTCACAGAGGCTTGCAGACCAATAATACAATATGGTAGTATTAGTAGTTGGGAACCAATAAGCCCATCCATCTGGGCGTACAGCGCCACGAGCTTTTGCAAGACCGTACTCCTTTCCAACATCTAGAACATCAGCCCTCTCTTCACCACCCGTGATCATGCACATTAGTGACTGGAACTGCTGTCGTCCCAATGAATCACCAATAAAAGCTAGAGTTTTATCCTGCATCCTGAAATGCATCGTCTCACAAATAAGTAATTCGTATGATTCTAGACAGCAAGAAATTACAAGAACAGCAAAAAGTAATCCAATTACACATATCAATAGAGAGTGGAAAGAAGAGTAGATATCATGCTACACAATGAGAAAATAGCTGCCCAACAAATTCTGTGGCCAATCGAGCATGCCCACTAGTACCCCCCCTTTCTTGGCTGGTTATGTAAAAACACCTTGGTTTGATAGGGTCGGCACGGTTGGCCTGGCCAATAACTCAATTGAACACAAAACATGTTTAAGCTGTTCGATTGTTGAGGTATCAAGTAATCAAATGCAACCCGAAATGGAAAATAGTCCATTCAAGACAAAAATAGATAGCATTACTATGAGACGAAAGAAAATCTAATTCTTAGGCACAGGTTAGGCTGGACCGACTGCTTTGTAAACCCAAATACCAATCAAATGACCACATGAAAGTCTGACCAAATTTATAATGAACGTTCTAAGACCAAGACCAAGTAGATATTACCTTCTCAGGAACTTAGCACCTGTAAAATCTTCCATTTCACAATCTTTTGGTCTCCACCGCAATTTCTCATATTCAAAATCATTGCGCTGTGTCAGGTGGCAAGCCCACATCGATGACAGCCATTGTTTACAACCAAATCCAGAATACAATGGCCTACTATCATCCATGACCCACTTTCCTTTTCCATAATTACAGGCTGAAATAAGAATATGGCAGTTGAATATCAGTCACATAATATGTACACACGTAAAAGTAAGTATTACATATAAAAGTAATTATATGGAAGAACCGATAGGAGTACAACTGTGTTTGCAGAAAAACAAAATGATGGACCACCCCCAAGGAAATGGAAGTAGCTCAAATTCGCCACAAAAGGAAAAATTAGTAAGTCTTCTTTTATTTGTTTCTACAACCAATTAAAAGTAAAAATTGCTCTCGAGTACTCCGAGAATTTAACCTCTGTATCATTATAATTTGAAGGTATACCATTGATTAAAGAATTTGAATTCGTGAGCATTTTCAACAAATTTCACCTAAACCAGAAAAGCCTTGAGAAGCTTAGATTCACTTACTACGTTTTCCGAGTGTAAAAGAATTATTATCTCCAGAAAATTGAACAGTATTCTACCTTGCTTTTCCACATGAGTCGTCAAATTGTCGCTGTATTCTCCTTTAACGGAAGAATCAATGCTGGCAAAACTCCTTGATGTAACTAGATCCTTTTCTGCTTGTTTCGAACTATTCTTTTGCTCTGAAACTTGTTTGATATTTGAGACCTCAGTTACGTTAGTGGAAATTACTGCACTGCCACAGAAAAACAACTTTAAAGCCCTGAATCTGAGATGATTTTAAAGATTCAAACAATGAATATAGGTTTCCAGAAGCAAGAATATGATTATAATATTCATCCCAATATCTTTCAATATATATAGTTTGGAAAAGAAAATATTATGTAATCCAAATTTGCAACCCAAATTTGCATCTCAAATGAAGGGAGACCATTGGATGAGTAGGTCCCATCAACTTTTTTAATGAGACCCACTGATCCAATAGTCCCTTCTTTTGGAATGCAAATTTGGGTTACATGGCATTGCTCAGTTTATTTTAGAAACTATAACTTTCAGTTGTTTGTTTCTCCTTCAAATCATATAAATGCCAAATAACAAAATACCTTGTCATTCTAAAATCACAAAAGGCTGTCTTAAATTTATCATAAGGACATTAATTTTTCTTTAAAATGATGAGAGAGAGAATATCCACCTCATTTTAGATGGATGACATGTGATATGGCAATTCATGGCATCTATAATGCAGATATCACCCAAAAAGAAGTAGCTTTGGTCATACGAAAGCAAAATCCTACCCTGCTCTTTGGTCAGAAGAGTCATTGGATTTTCATTCTCTTCCTTTCTCACAGAAGAGCTTGTGTTGGTGGAATTCACTGGCACTTCCAATTGGTTTGAACTGGTTTGTACTTCTAAATCTTGTTTGTCTATTATTTCTCCATCTGGCAGCACAACAAACTACAGATAATAAAACTCTGATACTACCATAACTTGGTAAATGAAAAGGTACATCATTCCGCAAAAACAATTTTTTCAAGTAGCAGACAGAAGAAAGAAGAAAATACGAAAAATGATACTCTAGCAAAATGCGGACATGCCGATCTGATTATCTTAACGGATTGGCTCAAGAACAAGGATAAGAAGAGATCCAATCACCACCAACGGGCTACAACTACCAATAAATCCTGATCATTGATGGGATCTAGCAGGGTAGGAGTTTCGGTGAAAGAGACAGAGCAGTCTATTGCTCAAGTTTCTCATCCTCAAAGCTTACAGCCAAAGCAACATGCTTCCTTCGTCTTCAACAGGAGCTGTTATCACATTTGTTGTAATCATGCTATTTCAAGGGAGCCTTTCTTGATGTCCCATTGGGATGCTTTGCAAACACACTGATTTTATTGCTACTTTACCATCATTTTTTCCTATTGACGGAGCCCCCTTCCAAGTTTGATGGCTGTTGAGTGCATCCTTTTTGAACAATGCATGGGGCACTCTCCTCCATTGCAGAGAGCTTTAATGGTTTGTTCCTTATCTTTGGGGTGTGAAAATCAAAGAATTCACAAATCACAAGCCCAAAAGCTGGGAGATAGAGCTCAGTCGGACAACAGTTAGAGCTCAGTTGGATACAACGATCAGAATTCAGTTGGATACAATGGTTAGAGCTCTTTACAGCCTTAATTCAGTCAGTTAACCCTTTAAAATGGATCAATGAACAAAATTGCCAACCTTACAATGGCAGCAAAAAAATTGCAAAATAGAAAAGAGATTAAACCTGGAGGCCCTGGAAACAGCTGCAACACATGACTCTGAGGCGGAGATATGGAGGTGAGAATTGGGGTTTTTTCCCAAGTCCATACAACAACAGTGGCACATACAAGAGCAATGAGGAGGAGAGAGACATGTTGATTCCTCAGTCCAGACAAGCCTCCTTTCATCCTTGGTGCACACAAATATACAAACTCAAAGTCATCCAGATTTCATCAAAGGGATTGGGTTCTCTTCTGCTCAATCTATGGACATCATTGAAAGGAAAAGTTTTGAGGCATGATAACATAGCAAAAACAGTTTCTTAGTTCTAATTTTAATTAGTTCAGTTAGCTCTTGATACACAACAAAATGTCATTCATATACAAGTACATAAACACACATATATACAAAGCAAGTGGTTTACTGGTAACAAAACCATTTTCTTGAATGTTATGACGTTTTGAATGTTTTAATGTGCAGAGGTAACAAGGCATCACTGCTTTTGAATATTAAAAAAAAAAACCAAAGAAACACGGAACACAGCTGAGATTGGAAATCACGAGCTCAATTCGTTGTATGACCGTGATCCTGTGGTCTTAATCATTTAGCAAAATTCCATTGCTTTACCATGCAGACACTAATTTTTCCAGTTTTCCTTACAGTTGTTTTTTTTTTTCAAAAGCAGAATAGTGGGAAATGCAGACACATTCATTCCATTTTTTACTTATTTTTGCTGTCTAAGAGTTGCAAGTGATGGCAAACTAGGGTTTGCAGTTGATCAGACTAGCATGAGCAGCTAAAAACCAATTCTGACCTTTGGTTGCAAGAAGCTTCTGTGAACAAGAATACTCCTTCCAGTCCAAACCAAAAAGCAATTTCTTATATCAACTGCATAAACACCATTAAAAACTTAATTCCTGCAATCAATTGAATACAACTCTCTATACCAATTACAACACCACAACTTAAAAAGTTGATCTGACTCACGACAACACTAATAAATATGATGAACCCATTCCTTCAAGCTCTTGAAGGTCTAGGCTGAAAGCACTTTCAGGTAACTTCAGCTCATCCAAACAGCTATGAACCACATAAAAATGATTGGATCAAGATCTCAAGAGCCTGATCTATCAAAATCTTATACAAACACATTTTGCCAGTGAAGCCCAACTCAGAACCTCGATATGGTAAATTTGTATGCTGTTCAGAGAAAGTGAATTTTTATTTTTATTTTCTAAAAGAAAACTGTGCAATTTATAATAAAAAAGTAATTGCATTGCATAGTTAATGAATTTATCTCGGATCAACCAATATCTGAATCACAAGCCAAGTCAATGTTAAAATTATCGCTCTTTCAAAGAAGAATGATTTTCACATATCACGCACCACCAAATTACACCATCCAAGCAATAATATCTATATATATATATATACACATTTAGATACAGATATATGATAAGGATATTAGCTCGGTTGTAGATGCATCTGAGGAGAGGGGAGAAGTACATACGTGCGAATGGGCCACCAAACTCCGACAGGCTCGGATCTCTGAGCAATTACTCGGGAATGATTGAGTTATATATGCACATAATAATGCCTCCAGAATCCAAAAGGCTCGGATCTCTGAGCAATTACCAGGGAATTATTGAATTATATATGCACATAATAATGACGGTGACGGAAAGTGAGTGTGTGTGCGAGGCGATAGAGAGTAAAGGTGGTGGTTTGGTCTCACGGGTTGGCACTTAATTATACAGCGACAGTACGGCGGAGAAAATCACGGAAGCAGGAGACCAATGAGTGAGATCACGGTCCGCGAGTTTTTAATTCTCCGTTTGTTCGAACGAGGAAAAGTTTAATGATAAAAAATAATAGGGATATATTTTTTACCCTTTAACGAAAAAAATTTAAAAATAATATATATATATATATTTTTGGTGTTTGATTGGATGGATGAAAAATAAAAATAATTAATTTTTTTTTTGTGTTAATTAAAATTAGGAATGATAATCGAGTTGTGTTGTGTCACATTTTCGTTAAGTTATTATGGATTTGTGTCAAACATTAATCAAACTTAATTTAACTTATTTAATTAATTATGTCTTGTCGAATTACAAATTAACCTGCTTATTTTCATGTCGTGTTCATGTTTGTATTAATATTGACCTACATAAATTTTAAATAAAAAATTTAACGCTAATATTCTATTTTCACTTAATTGAATTCATGTTAATATTTTTTCTACAAACTAAAAATTAACTTAAATAAATATAATAATAATAAGTAAAAATATCTTTTATATATAATAATTATGTCAGTATTTAATAAATAGTTACAAATAATTAACATTTTATGTCTATAATACTAGTTAAACATATTAGTTTCGTATTACCATACAAAAAAAAAATAGATAAAGTGTTTATTTTAAAATAAAGGGGTTGATGGTGTCAATTTTGAGTTTGATTGATTGAATTGAATATGAGCCTTTTATATTTTTTGTTCACGTGTCAAGTCATTTTCAAGTTCTAATCGAAGTATAATCAAGTTCGTGTCATAAAATTCGTATTGAGTTCGAGTCGTATCATCATGTTGAGTTGAAAATTTTCGTTTCTAGTTAAGATAGAAAAAATATTTTTTTTATTTAAATTTTTTATTTTTTATTTTAAAATTATATTATAAATACATATTTTATCATTGTATTTTTATATGAAATTAATGTATACATAATATATGTATATATTAAAATATATATATACAAAAAAAATACATCTCAACACAAATAGCTAATTTTTCATCAACTTTTTTTTCAATTTTGGAGGGATTGATTTTGGTGAGTTGGAAAAAAAATTAATCCATCCATTTTTCCATCCGTACCAGACATGATGTTTTATTTATCCCTCCAACTTTTTATCCTTCTATTTTTCTATCATACCAAGTGGAACATAGTGACTGACTGTCATTAAATAAATAAAGGAAAAATTACATTCAGACTCTCTAAGGTTTGTCATTTAATCATTCAAACCCTAGATATTTAAAATATTATATATACATCCCCTGATATTTGTACGCACGTAAGAGAACCCTGCAATTAATGTCCGTTATTATATTCGTTAATAAATTATATCCAGACATTCTGAAGCTTGTAGGCGTATAATATTTAAACCCCCTCAAGTTTAAAATGTTATACTTAAACTAAAAATACTTCAATCAAAGATAGAATATCAAATACTAAAATTTATGTTTTGTTATGACATTTATTGAAATAAAATTAAAAATAAAAATCTATTTTAAAAAAAAAAATTATAATTAGTACACAATTATACCATCTATTGTAATTTAATTTAGTCATTAAAATACCAAATTATCCCAATTAAAGTTATAATATATTGTATTCATTATAATTTGACATCTTATTTAATTTTTTAGTTTTATTTTTGTCGTTAAACTATCAAATTATCTCAATTAAAGTTAAAATATATCGTATTTATTATAATTTGACCCCTTGTCCGAATTAAATATATTGTGTTCATTTCAGTTTAATCTTTTGTTTAATTTTTTAGTTTTATTTTGCTCGATAAACTATCATATTACCCAAATTAAAGATAGAATATATTGTGTTTATTACAGATTGATTCCCTATTTAATTTTTTTTTGTTTTATTCCAATATGTAGTATAATTGTATACCAATTATGATTTTTTAAGAAAAATTAGATTTTTATTTTTGATTTTATTTCAATAAATGACATAATAGAATATGAATTTTGATTGTAAAACTCATGTTTTATTATGAATAATTTAGACCTCTTGTTTGATTTTTTAATTTTATTCCAATAGATAGTATAATTGTATATTAATTACAATTATTTAAGAAAAAATTGACTTTTTATTTTTGATTTTATTTCAATAAATGATATAATAGAACATGAATTTAGGTTTTAAAATATTGATATTCTATTTTTGATTGATGTGTAACATTTTTAACTTGAGATATCTAAATATTATACGTCTACAAATTTTAGAGAGTATGTGTGTAATTTACTAAAATATTTGATGATAAAAGTCTAAGTGTTACGTGTATACAAACCTCAGAGAATATGTGTGTAATATTTTCAAATATTAAGGGGTCTGTATGATTAAGTGACAAACCTCAAAAAGTCTGGATGTAATTTTTCCATAAATAAAAGATTAATTCTTTAAGGATGGTTTAATAATTCAGTTTGTTTTCTTACAAGCAAAAATTATGAGGTTCGATACTTTTCATACTTCTTAATGGTTATTCACCCTTGTTCTTTAGGGAAGATGTCTTTAAACTATTTTGAATTACATTAATTAGGTCAAAACTCGAAAGAATAATCAACACAAATCTGAACAACATGTAATAAAAAAAAAAAACACACACGCACACACAAAAGAAGATGAAAGAAAACTCAATAATGGAATTGGAGAAAATATGCATTACAACGGTGAGACCACGTGGTAATATTGATGTAGTATCATCAATCAATAATATCAAAACAAATAAATAAATGAACCCTATTAAATTTAAAACCAACCATTCATGTAAGTAAGTAATTACTCACTTTTCTTCCATGAAAATAAATAATTAGTCAAGTGAAGTTCACTTTGCTTATATAATATTTTATTATTAATTATTGATATCATATCAATATTATTGATATGCTATCACCGTTATATTCGATATTTACTCATTAAAATGATAGGAGAGACGCACCAATGCAAAATGATCAATTTCAAAGGATATTAAGATGAACTTTGGCTCCTCTGCAATTTTAAGCTTCTCAACTCATTTTAATTCACGGGTGTAGTAAAAATATTGTTCTCAATATAATAAAAAGTAATATTACATTAACCAAAATTAGAGACCAAAAAGAGTAATTAAATGACATGATAGCTGACATGGTGCCTAATCAGCCTTCCATGTTAGCTATTATATCATTTGGTCACTCTTTTTTATTCTTAATTTTAGTCAGTATAACATTATTGTATAATAAATCTTATTTAAATTTATAATGAACAGTCGTTTTAACAACTTTGGAGAGCTTTAAAATGGCGCTGCCATCAATTGCTCCATAAAAATATTATTTTTATTTGTACAAAATAAAATAAATTATTTCCAAATTGGTATTAGTGGACCAATTTTTTTTAATGAGGGGTATTTCTGGATATGTAGCTCATTGCTTTTGCATTCCCCATGGAAAACAGAGGTGTGTGTGTTGTGTTCTTGTACTGGGTGTGTGTGTTGTCTTTTGTGCGCGTGAGTGTTGTGTTTGTTATTGGATTGGGATTGGGATTGGGATTGAATTGCTTTTTAGGATTAAATTGGGAGTGAGATTGAATTGTCATTTGAGATTAAATTGGGGTTTGAATTAAATAGTCATTTGAGATTGAATTGAGAATGAGATTGAATTACCATTTGAGATTGAATTAGAACTTAGATTGAATTGTCATTTGATATTGAATTGGGATTTAGATTGAATTGCCATTTGAGATTGAATTGGGATTGGGACTGAATTGTCATTTAAGATTGAATTGGAATTGAGATTGAATTATCATTTGGCATAGAAGTAATGTATTGAATTGGAATTGAAATTGAATTGTCAGTTAGATCACTATTTCAATCAATTATAATCATTATAATTTTTTAAATAAAAATAAAAGTAATGTATATTATTGACTATATCATTAATTGATCAAATTAATTTAATTTGTTAAGTTTCAATAGCATTGTTGAAAAAAAAAAAACTTAAGGATATAAATTGAAGTGATAACCAAACATGTTTTTGATTTTTATTTTCATAATTTGGTAAACACAAATGATTCTCAAATATATTTTATGTTTTCAATGTTTACCACAAAACAAAACAAAAATTGTATCTACTTTTATTTTTTTAAAACACGAAAACAAAAATATTATCGAACAACCCCCACGTTTTCACTATTTTTCAATATAATCATGGTAGTACGTTCCGAGTTTTTCATGTCATCTCTATAACTTCTTAAATTGATCACAAGAATGTTTTGGATGAAAATGTGTAGTAAAATAAATCAATAACTTTACTTGAATGTGAAATGTGACAAAAAAAAAAACTTTAAGAGTTAAGAGGTAAAGTGAAATTAAATCATTATATAAGAATATTAGTAATTACCCGTGTCTGAATGCACGACGTTACTCGTAAAAAATTGTAAAAAAAAATTTATAAATAAAGGCAATGTATAATACAAGTTCAACAATATAATGCTCAAATTGATATTATTCAAGCTATATGTATAATATATATAATCAAATTTTTATATAACGAAAGTCACGTTACAAGTATTATAACATATTAATTAAAAAATTTGAGAAAATATAATTATTATTGATCAAACATCTACAATTTTAACATTTTTAATAAATTTTATCTTATATTTCAAAAAAATATAATTATTTATTTTTCTGCAGATTTTTTCCTAAAGTTCATAACATTATCTTTGCACCATTTTTTTCAATGTGAGTTCATGTAACTGTTGTGAGGAAAATATTCAAAAGTTTTCCCATGAATTATCGTAAATGTAAAAAATTTTGTTGATAAATTAAAATCAATTTCCATTCGAGTTCAACGTAAATATTCGTAAAATTCAATCGAATTTAAGTTTTGATGAGACCATTCCCACCCCATTTAATTTCTCATTATCAAACTACTAAGTTCACCCATTTTTTACCCATCTCATTAGTAATTAAGTCTATCTTATGCTACATACACCCCGTTTAATAAGTAAACTCACCTTATATTTTGTCATAATTAGGGTTTTATTATTTATTTCATCTCATGCACTCACAAAAATATGTTTTTAATACGAATTTTTCCAGTGAGATATAGGTTAGTATTACTTCTCAATTTAATTATATATTTGATTTCTTGTTTGTTATATGAATTTTCATTATTTTTTATATGTTTTGATATATCTGTCAAGTTTAATAATTTTTTATTTAGAATTTATATATATGTATATATATTTATTCTTTTAGATTATTTATTATTTTTTTATCTTGTTTAAGTTTTGCATCTATTCTTGTTATTTTTTTCTTATTCGATTTTGTGTTTGTGTTTGATACTTTTTTTTCATGTCCGATTTTACGTCTTGTAGTTTTTCTTGTGTTCTTTAATATTTGTTTGTTTTTTTTTCCCTTCTTGTTTCAATTTCCTTCTTTTTTTCTTTATTTCGTTCATTTCTTTTTTTAAAAGAGGTGTATGTAGCATAAGGTGGGTATAGAAAGAGTAGACTTAGTAGTTTGATAATGAGAAATTAAATGCAGTGGGAATAATCCCACCCTTTAAATTTAAGCAATAATTTATATTTTATACTCAACAGTCAAATTCAGCCCAATTTAAATTTTAATCATAATTACGTCAAACTGAGAATTGAATTTAAAGTTCAACTCAATTAACACTTATATCTTAAACATACAAATTGATTCTTATCTATTCTCGTTCACTGTGATGCCAAAACTTTTTTTTTTTTTTTTTAAATTTGACTTCAACTTGAATATTTGTAAAATTAAAGCAAAGTTAAGTTTAAGTAAGAATATATATTTTATACTTGACAATTAAATTTTGTTCAATTCAAATTTTAATTATAATCACTTCAAAATGATAATCGAGTAAAATGAAATTTGGAAGAGAAATTTCAATGGTTTGATCAATAATCTTAAAACAATTTGACCTGAAAAAAATTCAAAACAAATAATACTAACTCTCTTAGTATATAGATATATCACATTACATATATATTATTCGCCTATTATACAATTTAAATATTATAATATTTTTATTCAATACAAAATATGACCTATATTATAGTCATTCGACTCATTTTGACGTAAAAAATCTGTATATAAGTCTATTTGTTTATTTAAAAATTTTAAAATAATTTTTAATTAAAATCATAATTAATGACCTTAATGTGTAGTATGAATCTTAGAATTATGGAAGGAATGAAAGTGTTGCTCAAAAAATTGGTGGAGAGGAAATTTCATATTATGATTGTCGGATCAATATTTCTTTAAGCGATTTAAACTGCAAAAAATTAAAAATAAAAAAATTTACTTTATTATATAAATAATAGTTAGAGTAATGCTATTGGGAGTACATAAAATAGGGATATAAAGATGTGGAATCTTACATAGATTTGCCATGTCATTAAAATTCTGCCACTAGCTTATTTATTTATTTTTTACTGACCTTTCATTCTCCAACTTGTTTAGAACTCCTACTTTGGATTGCCCACTTCCCTCCGCCATTGCATTCATTGTCTCCTTTGTCAACAAGCAATGGAGCTCGAGCTTTCTTCGATACACGTCTTCGCATCACTCAAGGAACCCAGTTCCACAGTATATACAATCTAAATCGTCTCGCTTCCATTCAACTAGACCCGTATGCTCAAGTTGGAAGTAAAACCCTTCTTTCTCACAACAAAACGATACCCACTTTTAATAAGAAATGGAGCAAAAATTCAAATATAATACACATAAAAAACTCATCCAATCATAGGCGGAGAGGACTGGCAAAAAATTGTTTGATGTGCTTTTGAAAATTGATAGAAGATAGTGTAGGGATTGAAGGGTTGTAGTAGATTCAGAGATCGAGAATGATTATTGAATGGTGTCAGTTGGGTTCATGGAGACGAAACTATGAGCTGCCACTGTTGTTGTCGGCCGGGTATATGGGTCGCTTGATAAATTATTTAAAACCATTAGCTGTTGGAAGAGGAGATGAATTCAATCTTCATTCGTTGATGTTGGGCGAGGAGACGATGAATGCATTGACGGTGGGAAAGTCGGCAACCGAAGTAGGAGTCCTAAACAAGTTAGAGCAACTCCAAGGTGCTACGTAAAAGGGGTCTTTTTAACTATTTTAGATAGCCAGTCCAGAATTTTTGGCTCCAACGGGCTAGGTATCCTGCTAGGTATTTTCAATAACCCGATGTTTGCTCGCTACATTTGGCGACCTCCCCGGCTAGCTACTTCATAAACAAATGCTATTTTTTGCGCCAAAAACGTCACTCCACAGAAGCTCCATCGTCTCCATCATTTAAGGTCTTCATCATCCACATAGCTCCATTGTCTTCACAGAAGCTCCACCCATGGAGTGCTCTCTCTCTCACAAAAAGCTCTGTGTATTTAACTAGAGGCAAAAGGGGGAGGTGAGATTGTTGAAATTTTTCTGGATTGTGTATTCTCTGTTGTTTGGGGAGGTGAGATTGTTTGGATTTTTTCTGGATTTTTCTTAATCAGTATTCTTTGTTGCTTGGGTATTCTCTGTTCGACTTCGACGGAGGTAGGTTATGTGGCGAGGACCATCTTCAACAGATTCTTGAAACTGGGTTTGGTGGGTTCTGTGGCGAGGTGGGTTTTCAGGAGGTGGGTTTGGGTTGATTATGAAGTGTTTTTGAGAAGAGTCTTGAAACTCCGACGTCCTCTCTAAAAAAATTCAGCACAATTTTCTCAAAAATTCAATAAAATTCTTAAAAATTCAGTAAAATTTCTCTAAAAATTCAACAAAATCCTCCAAAAATTTCAACAAAACTCTCCAAAAATTCAGTAAACTCTCCTTAAAAATTTAGCAAAACCCCTAAAAAATCCAACAAAACTCCTAAAAATCTTGACTTCGGCTATTTGTATAATTTGAGGTACTTTTGTTTTCGATTTTGTGATTTAATTTGAGAGAATTTAGTTTAAAATTAATAATTTTTAGGAGGTGAGTTCTCTCTTGTAGCCTATAATTGATTAAATTTGTCAAATGTATAGTTGAATTGTTATTTTTTAAATTTTATTATTAAAAGTTAGTTGAAGTGATTAACTAAAATAGATAACGTGATTGAAGTAAATTTAAAAAATGGGTTAACTAAAGTAGATAATAATATTTAAATACTAGTTATTGTCTGTGCCTGAAGGTACAGAGTAATAAAAAATTATAAACAATAAACATATTTCTATTTATATCCAAAATCAAATCACAAACATAGAGAAGAGATAAAATAATTTAAACATTTGTTTGTAGTGAGACTGAAAGGTGGTGGGCGACAATGGTGGTGGTAGGAGACGGTGATGGTTGTGGTGGATGACATTGATCGTGGTGGCGGTGGCGGCGACGACGATGGTGGTGCGGTAGCGACGGCATTGGTGGTAGTGGTAGGGGCGGCGACTGTGGTGATGACAGTGGCTGGGTGGGGGGTGGCGGTTGTTGCGATGGCGACGATGACAGTGGTGGTGGTTGTGGCGGCGACGTTGGTGGCAACGGCAGCGGTGGTTATGGTGGTGTTGGTGGTAGTGGTGGTGATGACGGCGATGACAGTGACAATGGTGGTGATGGTGGGCGTGGTATGGATAGAGATAGTGGTGACGCAGTTTCAAACACTATTTTATTTTAAAAGTATTTATGGAAAATTATTTGTATAAATACTTTTAAAAAATCACTCCAAACACACATTTATGGTTTATTTATTTTTATTAAATTTAAGGTATTAATATTAGCCGTTAGATTAACTTTAAAGTAAAATTTTAAATAATCTCCATCACGAATAGGAAAAATCATTTTGTTTATATTTTAAGATTTGAATTGTAAGTTACTTTATTATATAGATATTTTGAGTAACTATTTTAGATAACATTGTTAGAGTTGTTTTTATAGAATAAAAAAATTAATAATAAAAAAAAAAGAGACTAAATTAGCTGACAAAATTTTAACGACGAGACAAATCCATTTCATATGGCACGTCGATGTCACGTCATTATGTCGCTATTTAGCATTAATGTAATGGTTGTATGACTTGATGGCAATGTGTAATACAGGACATATGTTGTTAAAGGGCCAAATTGTAATTTTGCCTAACACCATTTCATCAGTCTTCCGTTTTGTCTTGAAGACAAGAACACCCACCCTTTCTTCCGATCTCTGCATCTTAAAAAGCTAATCAAATTTACTTGAAACACTGAGAAATCAAGATGAGTCGTGGTAGTGGAGGCGGTTACGATCGTCACATAACCATTTTCTCTCCCGAAGGTCGTCTCTTCCAAGTCGGTAAGCATACTTTACTATACTAATTATTTTCGTAATTTTCTGAATCTCCGTGCTTAAATTTCAATCGTTTTCGATGCCACCAAATTAGGGGTTTTCTGGGTTAGTTTCTGACATTTGGGGACTCGATTTTGACCAGAGTATGCTTTCAAGGCTGTGAAGGCCGCTGGAATAACCTCGATTGGTGTGCGTGGGAAGGACTCGGTTTGTGTTGTTACCCAGAAGAAAGTGCCGGTTCGTTTAATTAGCTGATTTTTTTTTGGTGGGTTGGAGTTTTAGGTATCTTTTTCGATCTGCGTTTTTTGTCATAATTATGAGTGCGTGTGTGTGTGCAGGACAAGCTTTTGGATCAGACCAGCGTGACCCATTTGTTTCCTATTACCAAGTACCTTGGACTGTTGGCTACTGGCACGACAGGTTTGTACTCTTTTGAATCTTGAAATTGACCAACTTGAAGCAATTGGTGGAACTATATAATTTTGAACCAGTAAATTTCAGTGTGAAATGTGTAATTTGACATTTTGGGGTTGGATGAGTGAATGATCATGTGAGGAAAAATGATCAATATGGTATGTACTATGATGGCTATTTTGAATGAGGATGCCGTTTCCAAGTTTTGCAGCCCTGCAGATTGTAATGCTTGAAGTTAGTATTTGTGAACTAGTGATCATAATACAATGTCCCATGAGATGGCTAAAAGGATATTTCTATGAGGAAAATATTTTACCGTAGAAGTTTGCTGCTTTAATGCGACATCCTTGCGTGCAATTGTTCCAAATTTTGCATTGCTCTGAGCAGCAATCAAGCATTTTGGGGACATATTGCTTTGTCAACCAACCTTGACAAAACTCAGTTGGAAGCATATATATATGCACGTCTATTTAAAACCTTGTTTTGGTTGACCCTTTTGTATATGAGCTAAAATTTGACATTTCCACTCAATTTTTCTTTTTTGGCTATGTGTGCTATGTCATTTTCAGCTGATGCAAGGACCTTGGTCCAACAAGCAAGGAATGAGGCTGCTGAATTTCGTTTCAGATATGGGTATGAAATGCCTGTGGATGTATTGGCCAAATGGTATGCTAATCTCACTTCATAAATTGGTTGCTGTTTAACTTAAGAATTTTCTTAAGTTAGAGTCGCACAAATGGATCTATCATATTCATTTGAGAGAAGTGCGACCATTTATGTGCATTGGATTGGATTAGATTTAATTTCCCATTGGCCTCAGTGGACTTATCACGATTGGAGTTCAATCTATCCAATCCTAGGAATTTCCAATTCCAAACTATGCCATCATCAGTTCTCAACTATTGTCACATAGCCTCATAGTTACTTGTAGCAACTTGGAATGTCGTTTGGGTTTAGAATCCTGTTTGAGTTATACTTTGCTCTCCATCTTTCATCAAGACAGATATTTACTTTACCATATTAGACGATACAGTTGTAGTTAATCGATGCTCATATTTCTGTAATTTCAGGATCGCAGACAAGTCTCAGGTTTATACTCAGCATGCCTATATGCGACCCTTAGGAGTAGGTTTGTCCCTGATCACTTGTACACTTTGTGGGGATCTTTGTAATATTTAAGAAATTTGCATATTGGATATTGTTTGAAGAGTTTTTTTTTTCTTTTTGTTAAGTTGCTATGATTCTGGGTATTGATGACGAGAAAGGGCCTCAACTGTTCAAGTGTGATCCAGCTGGCCATTTTTTCGGTCACAAGGTATTTGGATTTTGTCTACAAATAGTCTAATTTGAGTTGTTTGTCATGAATATTACGCTCTCGCATTATGTTGTATTTCTCTTGTGATACAACACCCCTTTACTCCACCATATTTTGGACATATTGTCTTCTTCATGTCCTTAGTCTGCAACACAGGCTATACAGATGGGAAATGTTTATGATCATGTGACGTGCAATTATGATATAGATCTAAAAAAAAGGCGTTTCTGTGGTCAGTAGGTGAGGAGCAGAGTAATGCTTATCTCCTGGACTAAATGGTTGAGAAATTGACGTTTTGCAATATGGTCCTGTTATCTTAGGCGCATCATGTGCAACGTTGCCTTCTTTTAGATTTAACTCTAGAATGAAAAGAAAACTTTAATATACCTTTCCTCTGTTCCAAACATTTCATTCATCACTCTGAATTAGTGATTAACACAAGGAAAATGGACTTTTTTGTCTATTTAGGTATTGGTAAAGTGTAAACCTACCATTGGAATGGTTAACGTCAACAATCACTCTTTACAATATATCTATCCATTGGCAAAGATTGGGGTTTGTGGATGGGAAAACAGCAGTTCACATAGCTTGCCTAACTTAAACCTGAAGAAATCCTCACCGTATACTTCTTTTCCGTCCCTTAATTTCATTTGGGGGGTTGCCAGCAAGTATACTGCAGATGATATTAGTTGTTTTGATTAAAAATTTTGGTTTTGAATGTTTGACTTAAGTGGTTTTGCTCAGATAAATTTTGATTGACAAAGTTTTGCATTGAATTATTTCCCTTTACCTGGAATACTTAATTTTGTTGGGACTTATACAGTTCCAACTTGTCACTCCATTTTTGTCATTATTTGTGCCTTTACTGTAGCATTGCCTTTCTTTTGATTTCTTTTATTTTTTGACGGATTACTCATCCTTCCTTTACTAGTTTTTTTATTAATAAAAATTTGGTTGTTGCTGCTTAAAAAAAAAAAAAATTCCAACTTGTCACAGGCTGCAAGTGCTGGATCAAAGGACCAAGAGGCAATTAATATTTTGGAGAAGAAGATGAAAAACGACCCTGCTTTCTCATTCGAGGAAACAGTACAGGTAAGAGGGAAGACAATAGGCCCATGAGTTAACTAACACACACAACCCTCCCCTCGTCCCCCTTCTTCCTGGTTCAGTGCATGTCTTGGTCTGCTGTGTTAACGCCCAGAAGATTCTGAATTGGTTATAGTATTTACCTGTATATTTGCAATAGGTAATACTTGTAGCACTCGTTGCACTAATGCAAGCAAGTCATAAAAACTAGTGTCCACCGGATTGTTCAAAAAGTTTAACAGCAATGGTTGCACTATGTGGCTGAGAATTTATCAAAAATGTATGCTTGTGTTCAGGATTTGAGGTTGCACCCATTTTTGTGCTAGAGATATTATATGGTGCATGAAGTGGCGTCATGTTAACCTCAGCATTGCATGCCAATTATTAAATTCTGATGCTGCAACGTTCCTATTGTTGTGTAGACGGCGATTTCAGCTCTGCAATCAGTTCTGCAGGAGGATTTCAAGGCTAATGAGATTGAGGTAATGGAACTTGCCTTTTGTTTTATAATACATACATATTACATGAGGTTCTTTGATGTATTGGCCATCCAACTGTGTATTGGCATGATTATTCTACTGGATTTTGGTGTTTGTCATATTCTTGACGCAGTATTTTGAAATTCGTTTTGTATACGGCCCTTATTCAGCTCACAGTTTTCAGAGTAGGTCAATAAGAATTTCTGGATTCTTTTTTTGTTTTGTAAGCAGCTTATGCTTTTTGTTCCCCACAATATTTGTCTACAATTGGTAACAGGTCCTTTTGTTAGTATGTTCCTACTTCCTAGTAAATCCTGTATGTTGTATCCAACATGCAGTATACTGATAGATAGGTAAAAACCGATCTCCTTTTTCCTCGAGCCAATACTTCACTGGAGAGTGTGCATCTGGAATGATATCTGTTTCATTTGTTATGTGTGATCGTCTGATTATCTGACCACCACTGTGATCAATCTTTTGATGTTTGGCAGGTGGGAGTTGTGAGGAAAGAGAATCCAGTGTTCAGAGTATTGTCCACCGATGAAATTGATGAGCACTTGACTGCCATCAGTGAGCGTGACTGATCAAACAGAATATCTGAGGCTGTTTTTGGGTAATATACATTCTGGTAATCTGAATTCTTCAAATATGCTGCCATTGATAGTGGGGTTTGAAGGGCATGTGAGATTCTCCTGCATCTGTTATGAGATGACATAACTATCGAATTATTTTACTGTATTACTGTTTTTTGGCTTGTCTAAACTATTCACAGCTAATTGATTTAGGGTGTTCTCTCTCTGTTTCTTTTTAGTCATGGCTTTATTTTCAAAATATTATTTTAAGTTGCCAAAACCATTGTCTGTGACTCACGGGGGGTGGGGGGGGGGGGGGGGGTCACATGCCAAAAATTTGAAAGAAGTATCATAGAAATCATGCGGATAAGACGAGCAATTAACACACCAGACAAGGTGCATACTCGTACATTAGACCTATTACAATCACATTTTCCCCATTTTGTCTCTCTGTCTCCACCCTACTTCAATTTACTATGCTTTTTTTCAATGGTAGTTTTCCAATGAAGCCGGAGTTTAGGCTTCCCAGGTAGAGATGGTCATCAAACTCTAGGGCAGAAGTCACCATGGACATCACCTTTCCAGTAGGATCATCAAATTTCCTTATTATTTTGCCATGAGGTGCCACATTTATTACCATTGCTTTTCTTCGGACGCCATTGACTTGCTCAATCAGTTTTGGGAACGTTGCTACCAGGTGTTTTGAGACCTTGGAAGTGTGAACAAATTCCAGCCCACTAGAAGAAAGCTGCAGCATATAAATCTTTGGTTAAGATACGGATAAATAGCTTATGATCATGCTGAATGCTAATACAGTTAATATTTGAATATGAATATGAATCCGATAACATTTATATAAAGAACTAAATTTGAATCCAATCTATATATATATCAAAGTTAAATTCTATCTGAATCGCAGAAAAGTAAATATATGTTAAAAGTACTTGAAGCAGCGCTATCCAGAAGGATCCATCTGGAGCCAGATTGATATTGTCAGGCGCCCCAGGAAGGTTATCAATGAAAATCTCCGTTTGTCCTTTTGTTTCCCCCTTCAGCCAATACTTCAGGCATCTATGTCTGACTCGCAAATCAGAGACAAAGAAAACATTCAATCGCCAAATGTTCGAACAAAATTGCCAACATTTTCACTTTGTTAATTATGTAAATGAGCTGCCGATTCAACAATAGCCTCTCAAATACGTATACATATTATCTTGGTTCAAAATGTTCTTACTTCCATGTCTCGCAGACGACTAGAAAATCTTGGTTTGGGGATAGCGCAACACCATTTGCAAAGCAAAGGTTATCAAGCAGTATTGATGTCTGGTTCAATGATGGGTCATATTTGAGAAGCTGCCCGTGAGGTCTTGCCTCTAACACGTCAAGGTACCATTCATGGAGTCCAAATTTGGTGCTTGCGACGCTGAAGTACAAACTACCATCCACTGCTTCGATAACATCATCCGCAAACCTGCAACATCCATCGTGTAGAACTAAAGCTCAATGGTTATCTTTCAAGAAAAAATAATTTGAAGTGGATGGATAGATGATGAANAGACGAGCAATTAACACACCAGACAAGGTGCATACTCGTACATTAGACCTATTACAATCACATTTTCCCCATTTTGTCTCTCTGTCTCCACCCTACTTCAATTTACTATGCTTTTTTTCAATGGTAGTTTTCCAATGAAGCCGGAGTTTAGGCTTCCCAGGTAGAGATGGTCATCAAACTCTAGGGCAGAAGTCACCATGGACATCACCTTTCCAGTAGGATCATCAAATTTCCTTATTATTTTGCCATGAGGTGCCACATTTATTACCATTGCTTTTCTTCGGACGCCATTGACTTGCTCAATCAGTTTTGGGAACGTTGCTACCAGGTGTTTTGAGACCTTGGAAGTGTGAACAAATTCCAGCCCACTAGAAGAAAGCTGCAGCATATAAATCTTTGGTTAAGATACGGATAAATAGCTTATGATCATGCTGAATGCTAATACAGTTAATATTTGAATATGAATATGAATCCGATAACATTTATATAAAGAACTAAATTTGAATCCAATCTATATATATATCAAAGTTAAATTCTATCTGAATCGCAGAAAAGTAAATATATGTTAAAAGTACTTGAAGCAGCGCTATCCAGAAGGATCCATCTGGAGCCAGATTGATATTGTCAGGCGCCCCAGGAAGGTTATCAATGAAAATCTCCGTTTGTCCTTTTGTTTCCCCCTTCAGCCAATACTTCAGGCATCTATGTCTGACTCGCAAATCAGAGACAAAGAAAACATTCAATCGCCAAATGTTCGAACAAAATTGCCAACATTTTCACTTTGTTAATTATGTAAATGAGCTGCCGATTCAACAATAGCCTCTCAAATACGTATACATATTATCTTGGTTCAAAATGTTCTTACTTCCATGTCTCGCAGACGACTAGAAAATCTTGGTTTGGGGATAGCGCAACACCATTTGCAAAGCAAAGGTTATCAAGCAGTATTGATGTCTGGTTCAATGATGGGTCATATTTGAGAAGCTGCCCGTGAGGTCTTGCCTCTAACACGTCAAGGTACCATTCATGGAGTCCAAATTTGGTGCTTGCGACGCTGAAGTACAAACTACCATCCACTGCTTCGATAACATCATCCGCAAACCTGCAACATCCATCGTGTAGAACTAAAGCTCAATGGTTATCTTTCAAGAAAAAATAATTTGAAGTGGATGGATAGATGATGAAGGATGGCCAACAAGAGATAAAGACCTGACCATAAAAAGAAAAATCCCACATTGAAATGTACACACACACCAAGAAGAGGTTGATTGATACTCCATGTCCTTATCCCATAATAGCGCCAAATCTGACGCATCATCCGTCCTTATTGGCCCCATTTTCTTCATTAATTAAGCATCTTGATCTTGGGACCAACGCCTGACGCTTCACCACTTCAACACGGACATAATCTATTGGTTAATGGGTTATGTCTATGTTGAATAATTTTATCAATTTTTTTTAGGGGATCTTCGCATTCAATAATCCTCTAATGCAGATCATGGGATTTCCTTTAAAAAAATAAAAAAAAAATCCTTTAATAAATAAAATATATTTAAATTATAATTTTTAAATTCTATTTAAGTTGTGTAACATTTTTCTTTGTTAATGTTATCTCACCGCCAGATTTGAGTCCAACCCAATTTGGAGGCCACTCACTATCCTGATTAACAACAACGACTGACATTCATGGTCATGGACTTACCTTATTTTATCACCATTAGCATATGCTGATGCAAGAACAGAAACGCCTTCTTCTCCAACCTTCAACAAACCCTGCAAATCACAATTATCACTCAAATGAGTTTTATTATTTACACATCATGAACTCTCAATTGATCAGTACTACAAACACGAGTTTGAGAACCAGTTCTATGTTAGGATATCGGGAACCCCACGTTTGATCGATTGAAAAAGAAGTTGGCCCGACACCCCGTTGACCGACCTTGGACTCTCTATCTTAAACAAATTGATTTCAACAAACGGTATCCGTATCAGAGTGGAAAAACAATTTCAACATTCTACCTTTTCAGTGTCGCAAACTATGAGATCACCCGTTCTAGACACTGTGATTCCAAGTAGAGTATCACCCCCGATCATCCTCCAGTTCTCCCAGGATCCATTTTTATGCAATCTTTTAATCCAACCATCTCTTGTAGCAGTATAGAGAACACCCATGTTGTCCACACAAACGTCTTCCGGGTCCTTCAACAATCCTTCTCCAAGTTTTATCACTTTCTGCAATACAAAATTAAACATAATATGCATCACTGTAACAACCATCACAGCTAAAGTACATACCTGATACCACAGTCTCTGTTCTAACGTTTTGTTTGTTCAGATTCCATAGTGGCGAGAGCGAGTGCCTCGCCTTTTCTTTTTCCTAAGACATATATATATATATATATATATCCGAATATATATACAAATAATAGCTACTTACCTGTAACTGGTTGTTTGGGGTAAAGATAGAAGCTGAAGAGGCCGGGGGCAGTTGGAGTAGGTTGGGGGAGATTGGCGAGAAGAAGATGATTTGAAGTGTAATTGCTAGTAAACAAGCTATTATGATGCTTGAACATGCTGTCATGTAAGAATCCATAATTAAGTTTGGCAATAGCTTTTTAATGTAGTGTGAGAGAGAGGCCTTCGATAAGGAAGATAAGATGACTGGCTCAATTTTCTATGGCACTGGATTGTTTTATTCCCGTGTTATCCGGTTTTGCTTCCGATATCAAAACTATTTGGAACTAAAGATATTATCTAATTTGTCAAACTAATAACATTTTAATCTTTACTCAAATTTAAATTTGGGTAAAAAATTCTAAAAAACTTGCTTCAACCATTAATTCAAACTTATACCAAATCAAGGGAAATTCATTTTTTTACTCAAATCAAGGGAGACTCAAATTTTTGATGGTGAGATTTTACCATCTTTTAAAGATCTAATGGTCATCCTTACTCCCTTTTAAATTTGGGTTTGCCCTCATTTAAATTTGAATCTCTCCTTCTTTAAATTTAAGTTTGTCCGTTTGAGTCATTTATATAAAATCAAACTTTTTACTCAAATTTAAATTTGAATAAAAAATTGAGTCATGGTTGGAGATGCTCTAAGACATCTTCAACTTTGACATAAATTTAGATTCAAATTAAATTTGAAGTAAAAAAATTCACAAAATTTGCACCAACCTTTAATTCAAACTTATACCAAACTAAGGGAGATTCAAATCTTTACCTAAATTTTTAATGGTGAGATTTTACCTTCTTTTAAAGATTCAATAGTCATTTTTACTCTCTTTTAAATTTGAGTTTGTTCTCATTTAAATTTAGATTTCTTCATCCTTGAATGTGAGTTTATATATTCGAGCCATTTGTATCAAATCAAGTTTTTTACTTAAATATTAATTTAAATTTGAATAAAAAATTGAGTTGTGGTTGGAGATACTCCAATGACGTAGTTTTCATTACAATCATTGAATTAACATCAACTTAATGGATGAAATTCTTTTTGGATCCAAACTTTTTTAGCCCCATGTGTATATTGATACGAGTTTATATCTTTCAAGATGTAAATTGATATTTTTTAGTTTTGAGGATTCAAATTGAGATTTGAGTGATCTTTCGGAGTACAAGTTAAGATTAGTCCTAAATGTTTGTTTGGGATTTGGTCCAATTTATTAGTGAGTCTAAATGTTTTAGACATTATGGGATTGACCCTAATGGTTTTTAGTATGCGAATTGGAGAGATTGAATTTGCGAATTTAACTTTTTGACTTTGCGATTTTGGCTCGAATTCTCGAACACAATTTAGTACATGAGCGTGAGTCTTTTACAAATAGTTGTGTGGTGTTGAAAGACAATGATATCTGACAAACATGTTGCATATTCATTTTAAGTATCAAAAAAAAAAAATTATTAGTAGAAGGGATCTGACCATAATTGACTATTGACATTTGGACCTAATTCAATGAGTTATTCCCTAAATTAAGAAAAAGTGTGGGAGATTTGGTGAGAGGTCACACTTGGGTGTTAATCGTGTCGGGTTAAATAATTACGTGTCGAGTTAAATGGGTGACGGGTGAAAAACATATATACCCATACACGACACGTTTAATAAACGGGTAAAAAATCTCAACACGAACATGACATGTTTAATAAACGGATAATACGATACGACAAGACATGTTTAACCCGTTTAATTTTAAAAAAATTATATCAACAAATTTTAATACTCTACTTTTTTTTTACTGTCAATTGCACTTAACTAAAAAAAGATGAATTTTTAGTCAAATGTCATAAAAATAAGACTTGAAGGCTTAAAAAAAACTGTAAGAGATCATTGCCTTTTATATAGGTAACTCAACCCTCTCCATCTCTCCTTATTTTCTAATGTGGGACAAAAACAAAAGACATTGGTTTGCCTTTGTTTTTAAAGTGCTCTCCATCTCATCTCATTTGTCGTTGAACTACTATTTTATTATTATTTTTTTTGATTCCTTTACTTTTTTTTTATTGATTTCTTTACTTTTTTTTATTGATTTCTTTACTTTTTTTTTTCTTGTTAATTTTTTAAAATAATTATTATTTTATTATTATATTAATTTTATTTAAACGGGTAAACGTGTGATCAACGGTTTGACAGGTCTCACCCGAACATGACCCGTTTATTAAACGTGTTTGGCGTGTCAACTCGTTTACCATCCAAACTCATTAAAATCTCACACAAACTCGTTTAATTCGTGTTGGTTAATCATGTCGTGTTGAATTTTGACAACCCTAGTCATACACATGTTCTTTTTTGCCTTTAGAGTAAACCCCAACATTTTTAAGATCAAAAGTCTATAAAATCAATTATTAACAAAAGTACCTTTAATGAGATTATTTAAAAACCTTCACATTATCTCATTTTTATATTTATTACAACTACAATCTATATAATAAAATACAATACAATTCGAATCTCAAAAGATAAACAAAATGACTTTTGCTTTTCGCAGTTGAAATCTCTTTAAATTTTACTTTAAAGTTAATCCGACGGCTAATATTAATACTTCAAATTTAATAACGAATAGGGGCCTAAAAGTGTGTTTATGTATTTTTTAAAAGTAAGTATTTAAAAAAAAATAGTATTTAGAACCGTTACACCATTACCATTACTACCACTACCACCAACCCACCACCACAACTACCCATACCCCTACCACTATCACCACCACCTCCACCGCCCCATCCCCACTACCACTGTTGTCGTCATCCCACCACCACCTTTGCCACAACAACTGTCGCCGCCACTCTACCACCACCATCACCTCTACCACTGCCCCACCACCACTGTTGCTGCCACCCTACCACCAACTCTACTGTCCCACCATTATCCCTGCCATCACCATTGCCCTTACCACCATCGCCACCACCACCATTATCGCCACCGTCACCCCACCACCATCACCACCATTACTGTCGCCACCATCATCGCCCACTACTACCGCCACCCACTGTCATCCACACTTACCACCGTTATTTGCCATCACTTATTACATTATCGCCCGAAAAAATCTTTCGTCACCCACCACCACCACCACTATTACCAACCACCATCACCGTCGTCACTCATGACTACCACTACCACCATCGTCACCCATGATGCATCTGAAGAGGAAAGACGAAAACGCGAATAAGGTTCAAAGAAATCATCTACAAAGAAGGAATCTGTTAGAAAAGCTAGAAACAATAAAGTATCTTCTCCTAAGAAATTTAGTCCGATTACCACCAAAGAAATCACCAGCTAGTCACTCTAAGATGGATGATGATATTGATAAGAAATCCAAAACTGTTCTCAAGGAAATAGAAAAATCAAGAAATCGCTAAGGAGAAATCCTCAACTCCAAAGAAATCTGCTTCCAAGGAGAAAGCACAAGTGTCTATTCTTTTCCTTTTGAAAATTCATGAAGAGAACTTTCGGTTGCCATTGATGTACCATCTCAAACTCAGTTTTTTGCACAGGAGATTTCCTGCTACATATTGAGATAACGATCTCTTGTATGATGAACCTAAAACAACAACAAGGTCAGAAAGGGGGCCGGGTGAACAACTGACTTATCTCCTCTGAAACTTAAGTCAGTATAGGTTTGGAGGTTAAAGCACAATGTATATTTTATTTCAGTTTAGTCTTATGTACCTTTGTTCATTTTTCTAGGTTGTATTTATACTTGGATTAGTAATGAGTGCAAAAGCCTTAAGTCCCATCTGAACATTTAAAGTATGACACTCTTACCCATGTGCAATGAGTATTCTCTACCCAAATCTTCGCATTTTTAATGCTAGGATGATAGGACAAGTGCTTGGGGCCATGCCGATCATTTATGGCTATCCACAGACACTCAAGTTCCTCTGATCGGTGCCTAACACCTACTACTGAGCTTTTAATACTTGGGGAATAGTACCTCGGGGTACACCGAGGAGGTGTACTCGATGTAATAGACGTTAATGTCTAGTCATCATGATTGTAGACTTAGGTCTTGAGGAAGCAGGACTCATTAATAACTTTGTCTTAGTCACTCATATCGCTATAAATGAGTGGTTAAGTCGTATTAAATGTGGGTGTCAGTATATGTACTTGACTTCTCGGAGTCATTCTTCCTCGGCTCCATACCTCGGCGTCTTTTGAGTTTCATAATGGCTACCTCTTTACACATGTTGGTCTGGGGACTGCTAAGTCGCCCAAAGTTCCGTCACTTTTCACATTTGTGGACTGATGTTTAGATTTATAAACCGACCTTTGTGAGGTCGACTTCCAATTTTGTGAACTTCAGATTTGTTCCGAGTGAGAAAGTCTAAAAGAGAAAGAAAGAAAAGAAGAAGAAAAAGAAGAAGTTGTGATAAAATTAATGTGAGTGAGTAAAAAGGTATACTGGTCATTACAAAAAAAGAAATAAAAAAAATAAGTTAGATTGGACTATAAGACAAAAAAAAAGAATGTTAATGTGGATTTTTAATGCCATAAAAGTATAATGTCTGGACTAGAAGAATTAAAAGAATATCGAGATAGAGTTATCACCAATTTTTGCAAAAAATATTAAATATAATTGTTGCACCACATTGACTGTACGACATGGTATAAATAAACCCACCAGCAGATGATAAAAAATGAATTCTATTTTATTTTTTTATTATTATTTTCTTATTCGATGTTTACGCACTAACCTCCTGTTAGATTGGTGTCACAAAAATCCAATCCCTCTCTCTCTCTCTCTCTCTCGTTCATGCGCGTTTCGTAGCCGACAAAAAAACAATTCAGCAAACTACGACGGACGAAGCTTTCTATGTCTGTCACAGGTGCATATTTCCTTGCGCTTCTGAAAAACCCTCATCTTTTCCCCGTCGATCATCGATGTAACTGTAAATTCAGAATTTATTCCTTCCAAATTCAGCTGTAACTATATTTCTCCAATTTTATGATCAATCTTTTTGCCTTCCACTTCCACATATCCCCGCATCTCTATCCCTCAAATTCAACTCAATTAGCTTCTTAATTGCCTCAATTTCAATTTGTATTTTAGAGTAACTGAGCTTCAAAATCTCCCAAAAGTGATTGTTGATGATGGAACATTTGTATGGTTTCTATCTTCCGAAACACTCCAAATTTCGTGGAACTTTCAATGGACTTTGTATATTGTTACTCTTACTTCTTCTCTTGGTCTTCCACCAAGTGGGCATTTTTAAAAGTCCTTTTCTCATGAATTCCTCTCTGTTTCCTTCGCAAAAATGGAGCTTAAAGGGTCGTGTATACCATCGTGTCAATCCGGTCGAGTCCAGTCGAAGGAGAACTTCTGAAACTATTGTGAATTCCTTGAATTATAATCTTGAGGAAAATGGGTTGTTACAGAGTAATTTGAATGCAATTGGAAGCCCCTCTGCCTGCACTGGTTTGTATAAACACGAAGGTTACTCGACCAAATGTGAATACTTGAGAGCCAATCGTGAATGTTCATCAGGAGGCTTTTTCAATTACCTTATGTTCTTTTACTGCGACTGCGAAAATTTTAGTTTTCTGGGTTTTGTGGCTTTGGTAATATGGTTAGCTTCTTTGTTTTATATGTTGGGTAATACTGCGGCGGACTATTTCTGTTGTCTTCTTGAGAAGCTCTCAGATATATTGAAATTTCGGCCCACAGTTGCAGGGGTAACTCTGCTTCCACTGGGGAACGGGGCACCCGATGTGTTTGCTAGCATTGTTGCATTTTTGGGCAGTGGTTCCGGTGAAGTGGGGCTGAATAGCGTGTTGGGTGCAGCTTTGTTTGTTACTTGTGTTGTTGTGGGAACTGTATCCTTTTGTGTGGCGAAACTAGACGTTCAGATTGATAAAAAATGCTTCATTAGAGATGTGTGTTTCTTTCTCTTAGCGTTGATTTCACTTCTTGTTATTTTGATCGTTGGTAAGGTGAGCATTGGTGGTGCAGTTGCCTTTGTGTCGATATATGTGGTCTATGGATTCTGTGTTGCTGGAAATGAGATATTGCAAAAGCATGCCCCGAGGTTAGATTCGGATTCTCTTGTGCCGTTGCTACCGGTCACAATGTATTCTCTTGAAGATGAAAAGGATGAGTCCGTTGATTCTGATTATACAGATGGGGTTCCGCATCTCCAAGCTAAGCTGCCTCATTGGATGTGGGCCGCAGATGTGGCAATTTATTCAAATGAGGCAGTGAAGGCTAATTTGATAGATAGACCAGAGCCTCTATGGGGCTGGAATGATGAGGAGATGGTAAATAACCACTCATCTTTCTGCTGTCGGAAGGTATTATTCTCCTGTTCCAAGTTATGTGCTTTGCTAAAATTGCCCTTGACACTACCAAGACAGTTGACAATTCCTGTAGTTGAGGAAGAACGCTGGTCGAAGGGGTATGCTGTGGCTAGTGCTTCATTGGCGCCCATGCTTCTGGCACTACTGTGGAACACTCGAGATAATGTGGGTTCTCTTAGTGGAGGAATTGCATGTTTTGTTGGTGCTATTGTAGGCAGTACATTTGGTCTTCTTGCATTTATATACACCAGAGCCAATCGGCCACCTCGCAGATTCTTATTTTTGTGGGTTTTGGGGGGTTTCTTTATGAGCATCATATGGTTCTACATTATTGCAAATGAGCTTGTTGCCCTGCTGGTGGCATTGGGTGTTATACTTGAAATAAAGGCATCACTCCTTGGGTTAACTGTAATGGCATGGGGCAATTCAACAGGTGATATAGTGTCCAATGTTGCAATGGCGATGACTGGAGGAGATGGTGTTCAGATTGCCATGTCAGGCTGCTATGCTGGCCCTATGTTCATCACACTCATTGGTTTGGGAATCTCTATGCTGCTTGGTGCCTTGTCAACTAGACCTGCGTCATTCATAGTTCCAGGGGACACTGGCTTGTATTATACTATGGGTTTCCTCGTGTGTGGGCTTGTTTGGTCACTCATTGTGTTACCAAGAAACAATATGCGCCCTGGCAAGTTGTTGGGAATTGGTCTAATAACTATTTATTTTATTTTCCTCTCAATCAGGATTAGCATCGCTATAGGTGGTTGGTCATTGGAAAACTTGTCTTGATTTTTATTGGTGGTCAGTGTAATATCTAACCCTGAAGTTGTTAATATTGACGTTGACAGTGGTAAGTTTGTACACGGGCAATTTGGGGCCAATGCCAGTGCCATGAGTTGTCTGAAAGCATACATGTACATATGATTAAAGCTTAAAGCATGCTTCCTTCTCCCTGTTGATATCTGTCAAATTTTCTGTTTTTCTTTAAGTTATATCAGAACTAAACATGTATATGTGCTTTTCAGGTGCTTTCTTTTAGTGTTTGGCTGCTCTTTCTGGACCCTAGGCTATCACATTGTTATGTGGAAAAATGCAGATTGAAGCTCAATGCAAATTCCTCATTCTTTGTATCATGACAGAGTATTTGTCTTGGGCATAATCCTTAAATAGATTTTTTTCTCTAAATGTAGTTATATCTTTTTTCGCTTCCAAACAACCTACATCTTTACAACAATATCTACACACATATAGTTTCATATTCTCTTGATCAAGAAATCCCATGATCATACATGTATTTTTCACATCAAGTTTGATTGGGCTTCTGTATAAGGCATTCAGCTTCTCCATCTAGTTTTCCACTTCTGTATTCACTCAGGCTTGTATTGCAATATGTGGTGCTTGCAGCCGTAGTTAGGATGAATTGCTGGCCTTATCTGTCATCAGTTTCTATATATGCCCTTATCTTTTATGAATTGCTACCCTCATCTGTCATCAGTTTCTATGCATGCTACTCCTGATCTTTCATCAATGTCAGTATATGCTATAAGGGGTAAGTATATACTTATATATTTCAAAATATAAACTGTTATTTTTGGCCTTGGATTTATCCCTTTGGCTCCTATGGTGTCTGACAGAGATGGAAAATATATGTCACAGCTGATAAGTAATGGCGTGCGTGAAGAATGTGGAATGAAGCAAATGTGCAGATATATACTGAATGTGCCAAGGTATGCGTAGTAAATCTTTTTTTATGCTCCGAAGTGATCTGGTTTCCCTCTGTTATTCCATTTTTTTTTTCTGTTACTCCATTTAGGCTCATGCTTAAAGCAGTAAATTGCATTAAGTACGTATTCTTCAAGATAACAGCAGTTATAGCATCTTGAGTATTTTTGCACCTGCATAGTTTTGTGCCATACCCTGTAGTTCTTTGATCTCTACATTATAGACTTTGCACCTCCCATTGTTAACAGTTTCAAGTAACAATCAAAAAAATGTTAATGGTACAAAATTACCGAGTTAATCCTCTAGTCAAGAAAGTTGTAATATGCTACGTTTGATACATAGGGACATTGAAATTATCTTCAGGCATTAGTTTCTGATTGATTCAGCATCTGGTAGATCCATCATATATGTAGTCAAGAATGGCAATGACTCCAAAAATAAAGGCCTGATCAATGCCAGGCTTCACCAGCACATGATATAGATCCTTGCTCGCCATCACTTCCTTCAACTCCTCCTCCATTCCAACCTGTGCATCATTAACGATAAATCCATTGCATTAGAATCTTTTTTTCCTCATTTTTTTTAAAGGGTTGGGGGGGGGGGGGG